CCGCCCCTCAACCACGACCATCCGCGGCCAGTGTTCCCTGCCGGACCTCAACCGCGAGCTCCAGGCCCGAGTGTTCCCTGCCGGACCTCAACCACAGCACACAACCGCAACCACAATCACAAAAACCACAAACACACAACCACAAAAACACAACCACAAACACACAACAACAAACACACAACACAAAAAACACAACCACAAACACACAACCACAAACACAACCGCAAACACAAAACCACAAACACAACCACAAAGACACAACCACAAACACACAACCACAAACACACAACCACAAACACAACCACAACCACAACGCAGCACACAACCACAACCACAACACACAGCCACAGCGCACAACCCGAGGAAACACAAGCAAAACCGAGAACTACAATACTCACGCATCAAGACAAATGATTGAAATGTCATGCCGGGGATCACTCGAAGTAAAGTAATTTAGTTTGTTTTCCACTTCGAGCTCGATTACCCGTTCCTGAAAACAGATACAGCTTTGGCCGAGAGATTTGAAGAGTGCAGGTGATACCATCTTGTCCATAGTGGACTCTGGAACGGGAATGGCTTTGGCATTTAGCATGTCGGCAAAGAATCTTGGAATTCCCTATGTGGTGAAGGTCATTACCTCATTCATCTCACAGCTGGGCTACGACACCGTGACGCGCCATCAAGAAGGTGAAAGGCCAGATTGCAGAAGCCCTTCGAAAAGGCGAAGCGCCACGAGCAGCAGGGCTCAAGATCATCTTTGAGGAAGTCCCTCGCTACAGCTCACAAAGCTTGGGATCTATGGGAGCCTTCCAAAGCTGCTGAGAGGTGATGTGCTCACACTGCGCTATGCCGTGGAGGCAGAGTACGGCATCACTTTAACTTTGCACACCTCACACAATCTGTGGCCTTGGCTGGTGCGCTACTGCTCGTTCATCAGGAGTCGATATGCAGTGAAAGCCAATAAGCGCACAGCCTACCAGGACGCCTTCGATTGCCAGTCCAGTTCACTTCTCATTCCGTTTGCAGAGACAGTCCTCTGCCTCTTCCCGACTCCTATGAGTAAGGCCAGACGGGCGCATGGGAGAAATGTGATGAGAAAGGGAGAGACGGCTTGGGTGAAGGGCATCTAACTTGGGAGGAGCGTGACCAGCAATGAGTACCTCCTCGGCACACCTGTGTCTGCCAGGACAGTGAGACGATTTGCTGATCCTGCGAAAGCCCATCACCGTGAGTTGATGGAAGCCATGATTGGAGTGCCATGATCAGGGCACTACAATCCACAGACCGAAGGGGAAGCTGGAAACCGTGGTTCCCATGACACCGATGAGAAGAAGGCCAAGACCAAGCAAGCCCTTGGAGAAGGAGATCGATGAGCCTAAAACCACTCTCAACCAAGGCGGACCATCAAGTGGCAGCGGACGGCAAGATGAGCCGGTCATTGTGTCTGAGAAGCTGCCAGCGTTGTTGAGCCCTCAGCTGAGGCGATGGAGTCCCAATGGAGCAGCAGCCAATGTCAGCAAGACATGCCTGGCCTGAAGGAGGCTTAGACAAGCGTGCACGCGTGGCAGGAGTTATGTGGGAGCACTCTACACCCCTACCAAGGACATGGTTAGCCGCTGACAGAGGAAGAGCGCTGGTTGATGTGATTGGCGTCCAGATGGGCTACTCGTTCATGAGTGGTGACGCAGAGCAGGTGCCCATCAAGGAGGATGCCTACATGCTTCCGCCTAAGGACTGGATTGAGAAGCAGCTGGAAGCTGGAGTCGAGTTGCCAGACAAGGTGGTGTGGAAGCGCAAGAAGGAGTGGTATGGTCGAAGGATTGCAGGCCAATGTTTCGTGGAACGCGCAGCTGGACGTGTCAAGGAGCTGGGATTCACCAGGAACGTGGCAGCTCCATGGCTTTTCCACGACACCACCAAGGGTATCTTGATGGAAGTCCACACAGATGATTTCTTTGCAACAAGACCACAGAAGTCCCTTGTGGAGTTGGAGAAGGAGTTGCACCAGAGGATCAAGATGAAGAGCCAGATCCACCCTCTTGTGGAAGGTGAGAAGTTTACGCGTTTGAAGCGAACTCGAGAGATCTTCAACGATGGCATCTTCATCACGCCAAGGGTAAAGCACATCACTGATTTGCTCAAGATGCTGAACTTGGAGCAGGGCAATCATGGAGATGTGAAGGATGTAGCCAAGCTGAATGAGGCCAACGCCAGCAGGTTGGCGGAACCAGCCACCAAAGTATCCGGCGGCTGGCGGAATCAGCCACCTAAAGTATCCGGCGGCTGGCGGAATCAGCCACCTAAAGTATCCGGCGGCTGGCGGCTGGCGGAATCGGACTTAGGCCCCGAACTTCAGGGTTTATAGCAATCTAGCATTTCAACATGGGGACTGCATTCAGGAGCCTCTTTCTATCGATTGGATGGAGATGCCAACGAGATTCAAAGGTCAACACCTCAAGCCTCTGCCGCACGCTGGTGGTACAGCCGTACACTGTGCAGTTTGCATGGTACTATTTTACCGTAAAGGAAGAAGGGCCAGAACCACAACCCTAGAAGTCCAAAGACTATATTTTGACTCACTGAAGGTTTCAGGAAATTCCTGGACTCAGGTCACTTAGTCAGACCATACTTGTTGTAATCTTTGGCTCCCAGGGACAAGTGTTCTTCCACGCAATCACCCCACCAGCGCCCGCACCAGGTGCCGCCGAGATCTCCGAAACCACAGGTGCCGAGCTCCGCGTCTGCGCGTGATGGTGTGGGGCGAGCTTTCAGAGTATCCTCGGATGCCACCCGAAAACAGACATGAAAAAGACCGGTTTTCACATAGAACATGTTTTTCCTTCGAAAAACCAGGTGTTTGATGGGCTCTATTTGTTGGGTTCCCCCTACCTACGGTGGGGCTTTGTCGGACTGCGTGGGGAGCATTGGACCGGAGCGCGGTAACCGCGAGGTGACCGGTGACCTCGAAGAGGGCCGGGACCGACTGCCACAAGTGCTCGGCTGGGATGGAACCCGTGGATGAGATCGTTTTCGACCAAAGGGGTGGTATGTTCCACGAAACCATGATGATTTCAGGGAGGGTCAGGGTGCTGACCTCTTCCAAGTGGAAATTGTAGGAGGGCAACGAAAGAAGGCGACGCATCTTCCGACTGCCTCCTGGAATCTGCAGGCTTCAAGCATGAGAGCTGGCAGAGAGATGCAGAACCAGTAGAGCAAGAAGGCAGGCAGAACGGCTTGGTACTTGCCACATTCTTGGTGCAGTGGACCCTTTGCGTTTTGCTGAGCTACAGGGATCCAGTCGAAGCAGCCTTGCTTGTGCACAACGTAGGTGGAAGACCAGAAACATGGCAAAGACCTTCTGAACCTTCGCCAGTGGAAGAAGGCAGCTGGCCATGATTTGCAGATACCAGCAGCTTTTAGTGTTTCTCGTGTGAGTCTGAGTAGCTAGTAATTTAGTAACCGTTTTTCATGTGGTGTCCATTCTTTGAGAAGAAGAGACAGTGACTCGTTGAAGACTGTTGAAGTGGCCTTGTGTGTGCACAAGCTAGGTCGAAGACCAGAATCATG